CGGCGTTTTTCGCCACAAAGGTTGCAGCCCAATTTATATTAAGCTATCCTGTAGCTTCAGTTCGATAGAATTGCAACGCTTATGAAATTAGATAACAATAACAGTGGATACTGGTAATTAGATGTAAAATGCATTCTTTTCTTTCGAGCCGACCGTAGTCACAAACTGGAAATTGTGAGGGTGCCAATTCAAAAAGCTTGTGGACTCATAACTTCATATTTGTTTGACTGGTAGTTTATTGTTAAGTGTTGTTGAATGAGAAATCTAATAACAATAATTAACCAACCGTTGAACAGAAATACAGTATGAGTCAACAAGCGTTCAAAATTGGTACCCTCACGATTTTCAGCTTGTGACTTCAGTCGTTTTTCCCCTGTAGTCTTCAAATGCTATCTATTAATACTATTATTGTTTAAAAAGAAGAAAGTGTTGTCGTACTTTGGTTTAATAATTGTCACAACGTGAGAACCAGAGTATGTGGTGAAGTGGTGAGGCTCTTCAGTGTTGCATGGGGAAGATGTGAGGTTAAATCGCTTGAGAAGTTATTTTATGGTAAATATTTATCTTTCTTCATGGGTGTTGTGTCCGTCTCAGCTCTGGTGGGCCATGGAAGAGAGGGTTAAAGTTGTCCACCTTAACAATAGAGATTGTGTCAATGGGGGTGTGAAGCGTTTAGTTTCGGAATCATGTTGACGGTTATGTGAAAGACAAAACGAGTGAGAGCAAAAAGGAATGGGTTTATAGAAAACCGAATTAGACGAACGAGTAGAGGGGACGAATGTGAGGGGCCCAGATAATAAAAGTAAAGGTCCAGAGAACACATTATACACATATGCATACACACACACAACCATATACACAATGTCATACACACAGAGAAAAGGAGAGAAATAGAAAGAGAGGGACAGAGACTGAGGAACGGAGTGTGTATAATAAATTTAGATAGATAGATAGATAGATAGATAGATAGATAGATAGATAGATAGATAGATAGATGAGAGGGAGAAAGAGAGAAAGATGAGAGAAAGGGAGAGAGAGAATGGGAGACAGACAGAAAAATATCGAGATGCACAGATAGATATATAAATCGATAGATAGATAAATCGATAGATAGATAGATAGTATAGAATAGAGAGAGAGAGAGAGAGAGAGAGAGAGAGAGAGAGAGAGAGGGAGAGAGAGAGAGAGAGAGAGAGAGAGAGAGAGAGAGAGAGAGAGAGAGAGAGAGAGAGAGAGAGAGAGAGAGAGGGGGGAGGGGGGTAAGTTGGTGCCAATGTACTCATAAGCGTACACATGACTGAAACTCGACGAGGAAAAGGAATGCGTATGGGTAACACGTAGAAGGACGGAACCACAGGTAGAGCGAGTCAAACAAACAAACAAACGGACAGACACATTCATGCCCGTTGTCATACATTTTTAAAACTTCACCTCAGCCTTCCAATCGCAACTGGTGAGGTTCGACTCGCAGTCGCCACTGACGAATTCGATGTAGTCTCTGGAATGCTGCGTGACGCTCTGTAGGAAGGACGCAAAGTCCTGGGCTGTCAAACCGTCGACCGTACCTCCCGTGGAATCGGCGTAAAACTGAATCAGCTTTCCCGCCGCTTCTTCCGCCATTTTGAGCTGATCGTTTTTCTGGCAACTGGCGTGCCAAGGGAGGGAAGCTAGTATGAGAATCACGCTGAGAGTACACGTTGTGAAAGCCATTGTTGTCCACCCTTCTACCTGCAGTGTTTTTTGTTAAAGATATTACAGAAAAATTACACCGTTATTTCGTTATTTTGATCAACAAACAGTTAAGCCAAGAGTTCTTTAGAAGTATTTTCCCGGTGGGGTTTGTGATTCTGACAGCAGAAGACTGTAAACTGGAATCGGAGAAGTCAGTTGTCTGCAAACTGTGCTGGCGAAGTTGTCGTCCAGACAAGAGGAGATAGAGGATTTCAACACATGCGCCGTCACTCGCTGGTCAGGAGTTTAC